AAAAAAAAAATGCAAGGGGGGTTACAGCATTTTAAGTGACGCTAAAGTTGTTTGACATGTGCAGGACCTTGGAGTCTTAACTATTCAGGATAATACAGAATATTACTGGTCATACAAACAAACCTCTCCAAGAAAGCTAATAGGCAGGCTAGCATCAACTTAATACTTCAGGTCAGTGCCACTCAAATGATTATCTTGTAGATAAACCTACTGTAAGCCAGTAAATAGCCAGTACTAAACTGTAAACAAAGGCTTCTTATACCACCAGCCACTCAAGAGATATGCTATCTCAGCTTCGATCTATAAAGTGATCTTAATTCTGTAATTCCCTCAGCATTCACTACTCAAATATTTTAAAAGTAAATCTTATGTAACTGCCAGAAATTCAGCTAGCTCAACATTCCACTACAAGAATTTTCCACACAAGGAAGTAAAAGTTGTTGAACTGTCACATTAAGTATTTAATACAGTTTCTCAACTTGTTATTTTTTAATTAGACATTTTTACTTTGAAATAGGAGCTGTATACACTTTAAATTGAAATAATGCCGTATTTCTCATGTTTGAGAAAGATATTAGTGTGGTTTTTTTGTATCCTAAGTTGGAGAATATTTACAACACAATAGAACTTCAGCCAACAAGGGCATGGTTATCCCCCTGTTTTCAGTGATCCATGTTTATGTTAAAGAGGACTCGCACTTCTGGTTCCACTGTGCGCTACTGATTTAACTGCATCCTCCCTACGTGATTTTGCTGGATGAACTAGACAAGTCTGCCTACTCTAACAAGTCTGTGTCAGCAACGATTTGGCAGAAAGATGAAATAAAAGCATTCAGAGAAATGCCTCAGTCTGCAAAACCCTTGGGCTTCTGGAGACTGGAAGAGTAGCTTTACATTCTCAGTTGTCTCCTGCCTCCTTTTAAAGAGCATAAAATTTTGGGGCTGTACAGAGAACACAGTTTATCCTCCCCCCACCTCCCGTGGGGGTTTTTAATTAGACATTTTTACTTTGAAATAGGAGCTGTATACACTTTAAATTGAAATAATGCCGTATTTCTCATGTTTGAGAAAGATATTAGTGTGGTTTTTTTGTATCCTAAGTTGGAGAATATTTACAACACAATAGAACTTCAGCCAACAAGGGCATGGTTATCCCCCTGTTTTCAGTGATCCATGTTTATGTTAAAGAGGACTCGCACTTCTGGTTCCACTGTGCGCTACTGATTTAACTGCATCCTCCCTACGTGATTTTGCTGGATGAACTAGACAAGTCTGCCTACTCTAACAAGTCTGTGTCAGCAACGATTTGGCAGAAAGATGAAATAAAAGCATTCAGAGAAATGCCTCAGTCTGCAAAACCCTTGGGCTTCTGGAGACTGGAAGAGTAGCTTTACATTCTCAGTTGTCTCCTGCCTCCTTTTAAAGAGCATAAAATTTTGGGGCTGTACACCCACCTCCCGTGGGGGTGGGGGGGGAGGGGTGTGTGTGAACTCTGCTAATCTAGTGCTATACCAATCTACGTACTTGATGTTGACTTTTTTTTTTTTGAAGTTCAGAAGCACTTCATTCTTTTAGTTTTTCCTGCACCTTACCCAGAAAAGGAAACAGACAGGTCATGGCTTCTTTTTCACATTATTACCAATCCACAAAGTGCCCTTCTCCTTCAAAGAAAAAGGGAACATCTATAAGAACAAATATGTTTATTGAATTTTAAGAGAATTCCAAAAGCTGCTAGAGCTTACAATTAAGTTGATTTGCGAAGAAACAGCCATTTAGCTTCACAGATATCCATAGAGGAGAACCTCCCTTCAGCTCGAGCTAATTAGACTAGTGCTCTAACTGGCTTTGATAGTCAGAGATCCCCACTCAGCAGTTCCTTTAAACACGTAAAAAAAGGAAAGAAAATGAATAAAAACTACCTAACTATCTAACTACTACTATCTTGATTTGAACTGTTCTTGTGCCTAAATGGTGGCAAGCACATGTCAATATAAAACCAGCTACTGTACTAATTCCCTGGTGATATAGCTCAATATTTCATTAGCAAAGGCACTGTGAAGCTACTTAGTATTGGGGGGGAGGGGGAGAAAACCAAAAAACCAAGCCACATCTAACTTGAAGCTATATTTTATGACTGTCATTGAATATCCCTTCTCTTAGAGCACTATCAGCATCCAGAACACACCACTTAAGTTGACAAGCATGTTGTATATATGGTGCTGTGGTACTAGTTACCTGCTCAAGATCAATGCAAGCCAGCTTGCTCCAGAAAAAAAAAATAGAAGTCTGTCTTCATACACTTATTAGAGCAACCTGGGATTACGTTGTCAAGTTTCATCCTGTGTTTTGATAAGACCCTTGGTTTTAAGTCTCACTGACAACAAAGATGACTTACCAGCTGACCTTCACTTTAACAAAGTCTTCAAGAATCAAAACAACTCATTGAAGTGCTACATGCCATAGACACCTATTTTCCCCATAATGTCTTTATTAAGATCCAAAGCATATGGGAGACAAAACAGGTAATCATTCTGAGAACTACTGTTTTACATTCCATTCTCCTCCTGTCATTGGTTTTTTTCCTCTTGGCATTGAAGAGAGCTATCCAAGGTCTCGCCCATTAAAGAATTTCTACATTCCTCAACTGCTACACCATTATATGGGTTTCAGATTCCCCCTTCAACCTCCCTCTACTTCTGGATGTCTTACTCCAAGTCTAACAGCTCCGACTTCCGATCTCTTGTGCTTGTATAATGCTAATTTGACAAGTAAGTGATCTAGAGAAATTTAAACTAGTTCAGATCACATAACTCGTATCCACTGCCTGTTCGCTGTCCTCCAAAACCCAACTACTAGGTACAACCCAATGACTCACCACACAATATAACGCAAAAGCTGCATGTAGCAGAAGGACTGAAGTATCAGCCCCACCAGGGGATAGAATACCACAATGTTGATTTTTGTTTTGAGGTAGAACAAGTAGTGTGGGTGTAAACAAAGGAACACATTGGAGCAGCTGAGACTTGGAAGAAGACAGTCAGCAGTAGGGAAGGAAGTTCAGACATCATGAAGCTCAGTCTCTGCATTGCGACTTCAAGTAGCCTGCCATCAGAAAAAGCAGTGTCAGAGTCTAGTTTCAGCTCAGTTCAAATGTTGCTTAGGTTATCACATATGGAAGAAACTATTTTCTTTCTCAGGTCAGTTACTCCAGATAGGACTTTTGAAGAGTTCAAGACTCTTCTTCAGTACTCACCCCACACTTAAGTATGCACACGCACAATCACTTTAAAAAAAAAATTGAAACCATATTAATACATGTAAAAGGATATCAAAGGCACTAATATTACTTAAAACACAAAAACCCCACAAGAGACTTGCATGTTACATGCAAATGGTTGCAGTACTTGAATCAGCACAACTGAATCAGTAGCAGTAATAGGGGCAACTGGAAAAGCTTACCAGTTTTCACCATTACACATGAAGCCTTCAGAAAAGAGTGAGCAGAAAGGTAAACGGAAGTTAACCCCCAAATCTAACAGTCTACAAGTCTACTTACATATCCAACCAGCCTGTGCTTACAGAAGGTCTTAAGACCTTACAAGACAAGAAAAAAAAAACTACACAACAGAAGCTGACAGCTAATACTTATTATCGAGAGGCTTCAGCTAAGTGTCAAACTTTCTTTCATGGAGCACAATTAGTCGGTTAAAAGAGAAATTCCAGACAGCCGAAGAACTATATTAGGTTACCAAATGCTCATTTTCAACAAGTTAGAGAGCAACTATCCTACACTATTGCTTCCCTAGGGGGATCATTTATAGGAAAGAGAGGCTTCGCATCAAATCCAGTCTGGAGCTCCTGTAGTAAGCCTATACCTAGTGTTATTAGCATATCCAAACATGCAGACACACCTCACTGAATGTCAGTAGCAGCTTCAGTAGTTACTAAGGCATTAAGAGGTGCATGCTGATGTTCAGGACTGCAGCCGCAGTATGTATGAGGGTTTTTGGGTTGGTTTTTTTAAAGAATGTCACCTTAAAGGGGTAAAAAAAAAATCCTGTGCTAATAGTTAACTACGTTGAAGTTTCTCAAACTTATCAACTAAAACCAGAAGATAGTGCTGGAGATGCAACAAACACATCATCTAGCTTACTATACCTGGTTACACAACTTCACCTCCTTACTGCTAACAACGTTGTTTTCCACCCTTATGCTTTCAAAGACATTACTGAAATCCCAGGCCAAAATCCTCCTCCAGGAACTCCTGTACCATTCGGTGACCCCGTCCCTTTGTACGGCTACTCAGCAAACTTCAGCCAGCCCTGTATTTGCCTGAGTTTAGGTACACCTAGCACACATTTCCTTATCTGGGTATGAAGCAATTTTTACGTAAGGGACGAAAAAGGCAATCGGATTCGCCCAAGGTGCCAGGCAGACCTGCGCGTTTTCTCGAGGGGATTACTTTATCCCGGCCGCAGAAACCCAGAAGGCAGAGGATGCGGGGGAACATGTGCGAGTGGGGGAGGGAGTGGCGGCAGGCTCCTCGCCGCACCCGGCTGCCGGCTCGTTTCTCTTTAAATCTGGCAGCGAGCGACACATGGAGCTGCATTGTGCGCCCCGCCGCCCGGGCG